CTGGACTCCGGCCCATTCATGGCTGGACTGCACTTTTCTGGGAGTCACTTACTTATTACTTATACTCTACTCATTCAACACTACATTAAATTATCAATAACAATCCTGCCTTTCACGCCTTATCCTAGCCACTGGTTTATATTCGTTGGGATACGTTCATCTTCTACTATCCGTCCGGACCATATCGTATCCCACAATGTCATGCTCTGTGTGGACCGTCACTGCTTGGGACGACAGATTTCACCTAATTCTCTATTCCTGAACCCGACAAGCTCCAAGGGAAAGGTGATGTCCGGGCAACTGGGAATGGGCCAGTACACAGTAGTTAACGTTAGATAATTCAACCAGCACCTGCTGTTGTCTCCCACAGTTACGCAAGCAAAACTGTGGTTGAAGACGGATACCATGAAGAAGGATTCATTGCACGCCAATCCTCAGTCAGGTGATGTAGAGATTTGTCCTGGCGGTGGGACAACTTTTCAGACCACGACTCTATATCTACAGCGACAGTCGAAACGAAGCACTGGATCAATGTGAAGGAAGTAACCAGGTACTCGGCTTTAAAGTTTTGTCCTACAGCTCATTTCTGATTGCATTTGTGTCAGAGCGCTCGGAGCCTTATCATCAATCGAGTAAACCTTACAGGTTGTGAAGTCCAAATTTCAGACACTACTATGTACTGCCGACACAGGTGTGCCAATTAATAATTTTTATTACATTATAAACTAAACCAACTGTGACATCTGCAGAAAGCAATTACATTACGTCCTGCCACTGACATTTCAGCTAATGTGAATAAAATGCATAGAACACGTTACGCAGAAAGTCTACAACCTTCAGCCCGTGTCTATAATGAAATTTTTTCCTTCATTGAGTTAGCAACGTGAGGCCGATGGCTTTGCGCGAATATTAACATATGACCACTTGACAGCGAGCTTTAAAGAATTGAAGAGGAGGCAAAACAACTTACAGGAAAAGATCACGCTCTTTGTCCATTCGCATTATGGTCATCTTTCTCTTGGCAGCTGCGTATATCCGGATTTCTTCGTCAAATTCCTAGAACAGTCATAACCACTGTTAATCGGAGAACATATACGATGCTTTACAGATGGAATTTTCACGGTCCTAAACGATCGCATAATTGGAAACTTTTTAAATTTGTAATCCAAGCTTTATCCAAGCGTTAAGTTTGAACGATACGTAAGGTGCTACCATATTTGCATGGAAAAGAATACTTTCGTCCGTGTTCTATATAAAAAATATTTTAGTTTATACAGGCATCGAAAGTCCATATGGAAATCCAATAAAACTTATATAATTCTACGGGATGTAGTTTTCCAGGTCGACCAGAAAGAAGCTCGGCAAAACGCTAGCAGTTTGGCGGGACAACACCATCTGGGAATTATGTTGCAGGACAATTAATGGATGCATTAATCTGAACTTGTTTCCAATTGCCTACAAAGACTAAATCCTGTAAAAAATATCTTCTTAGATAGTATGATTTTTTCAATTTAGTTTCGATGCTTTTATGCATTCAAATATATTTTATAGAAAACATACTCAAGAATATTCTTTCTTTTACATATTCATGTTTTTTCAATTGTAAGCTTGAAGAAAGGGTCTCCTTTAGTCTTAAAAGGTCTCTTTCGATTCCCGAATGGTTTCGTACCCAAACTGCCGTTAAACTTGCAGTTAGTTTTTCCCCTACTACATTCCCCATGCAGTTCGTCTAAAGAAAAGCGCACTTTTCTCCAGGCTACTAGCAAGACGTCATATATTGCTCATATCATTTCGTAATGGATATGAATCATCTTGTATAGCTGACAAGCACTATTTGCAAACGACCACATACGATGCTTGATGAATGGACACTTCATGGTCTTAAAAAAGCTCATAAAAAGAAACCTGTTTAAAACCCAATAGGTATCCTTTCTTGACGTATAAAATCAAAATATAATATTTAATTTGCTAGAAAATTACCCGGGAATGCTAAGAACCTCTTCCTGCTGAATCTTCTATACTTTTTGTTTCAAAGGTATGAACATTATTCTACTAGCGCCAGAGCTTGGCATTTGCTGGCGCTGAATTTCATGTTATGGCCCAACAAGTCGGTCAAGAGATGGAACTGCAATATTTTAGGATGAATTACGCAAAGGTGAGACGATTAAATTATTCATATAAGACCCTACAAAGTCCACCACCTGTTGAAGTAGGCGCTGGATTTAGTGCCCATCATTAAGCTTAATAAGGTAACTACCGGCAGAACAATGCACGTAGGCTACAGCGTGATCATCACAAACCGACATGAGACAAGAGGGCCTGAAGAGAACGGACGGAAGAGCGTGCAAGAAGTCCTACCTCGTCTTTGATTTTCTCTACAGCTTTCATCGTTTCGTGATCCTTGATAGACTGGAGTAGGAGTCTATTGAGTTCCTGCATCTCTTGCTTCCTCTGAGCTCCCTCACGTCCAATTTGCTCCTCCGCCTCCAGGGCTAGTTGGCGGATTTTTCTTCCCTCAGCAAATGCTGCTTCCCGTTCAGCGGCCCTTTGCTTTTTATGGTCGTCTATCCTGTAGGAGTGAAAAAGTCACCTGTACAGCCGCACTTTTGTGCGACTTCATCAAATTACATATTCATAGGGAAGGGTAACAGTCTCCTATAGACAACAGAATTCTGTAGGATATGGTCGGTGGCAGTGGAGGTTACGTAGTGGTCTCTTCCGTCCGACGCCCTCCATTACTTTTTCCGGCGTCATTGTTCAAGGCCATCTGCCTCGAGGTCATCCAATAATTCAGTCAGCGCTTACAGACGCGCTGACCTGCAGAGAATTCACCTACTTCGACTCGGACACATAAACATGCATCTAGGTTCT